GGTTCCTCCCCTCAGCAGAGACTCCAAGGAGGGCATGAGCCAAAGGACACCAGCTTTGGGGTGACTTCGCTGCCTTTCTCCTTTAAGCTGATCTCTGAGCTATGCCTCCTCTTTGGAGGCTGAGCCGAAGAGGGAAGGTTCTTCTTGCTTCTCTTTTTGCTTTTGAAAGAGCGATTGGCAATACACCAGACAGCCAAAGGCCCACATAGAGCCACCTTTGGACTAGCAGCTTTTTTTTATTTCTGCAGGCTGCTCTCACAAACACCTGTGGCTCAACAACAGCCTTTGGTGAGCAGAAAGGATGGCCCGAGCTCTGCCCATAAATGCTGAGCTGGACTGTGCTCTGTTGGCCGTATTTTACCCCTGCTGAAGGCAATGCGGAGTTTTATTGATGTTTTCTGTGGGCCCAGCCTCTGGCTCTGACATAAGTGAAACAATGAGAGCAGAAAATGAGTGCCTGAATCCAGTGCCCATTTATTTGATTTCTGTCTCTGTTCCCGCTCAATCTAGCTTCGCTTTGTTGGCCAATTAGTTTTCTTTTATCTTGAAAGCTGAGAAGGAAAATATTCCTGGTGATAATTAATTTCTGACATCAGAATGACTTCTTTGAAGCTGATATTGGCATGAACATCTTTCACTTGCCTCAGACCCTTTGGTGGGCTGCTCCCTCCCTAATTGATAGAGTCCTCTGGGGATAAACGGATGCTCAGCCAAACATCGCACTCCTTTAAAAGGGACTTTTATTACTGACCCATGAGCATCCCTCGAGGTTGTAATGAGTTAGGAGTTGTAGCTGGGCAGGAGGAATAAGGCAGAAGGAGCCATCTATTGAACAGCTAATTAAGGGATGCTTTAGCTTTTTGTTAGCCAGGTCTCAGGCTCAGGATGGAGCCTGCTTAGAGAGTTACCAGGCAACTGCCAGAGCCCGCTGACTCGCCTGCAGGTACACACTCAGCTTTTGCCTTTTTCTTTAACCAGAGAGTCTTTCTGAAAGGTGCTTTAGCTGAGCCAGAAATTACTGCCCTAGATTCAGGGGCTACAGAATGAAATGCCCTGGCTTGTTGTACGCAGCACATCGGCCACAGAGCATCGTAGTCATTGCTGGCCTTTAATTTCATGAGTCTCTGTCAGTTTGGCTGCCTGGTAAATGCATAACTTCTGCTGCATCCATCACATCTTTCGAAATAACAGGGTCAGAAGCAATACACAAGATAGGGGAAAACCAGCAATTTGAACGAAACTGGACGTATGGACTGTTACAGATTTGATTCCCAGCTGTCGGGCTGGAAGCACCAGCACAGTGGAGGTGCACATTGAGATGATCTTAAGCGAGACTTAGAATTTGCCTCTGGCTTGCCGGGCTCCCAGCTGGCTGCGCGCAGGGAAAGTCCCACATCTGCACCCAAGAAGAGGTGTTTGTGTGGGCAGAAACAGAGCTGTGTGCATGCCGGAGTGCTGTTTGCCACAGCAGTGTCAGAGAGGCAGGGCCTGCAGGTTTTTTGCAATGAAGTGAGCTGCGGAGGGAGGCCGAGCCATGCTTGGTGGCTGGCACGCTGCGTGGGATTCCCGTGGTCATCCTCGCACCTTGCCGAGCTGTGTGCATGGAGGGAGAGAGCACTGCGGCATTCGGGGCAGAGTGCGGGTGTGATTTGCAGTGCCCTGCTCCAAAATGAGCTCTGGATAACAGTGGCCTGTGCTTGTTCTTCACTCCAAGCTCCATCTGGGCATACACACAAAAGCCGTTGTCCAGCTGTTTATGGCCTCTGTAAACACTGAATGGTGGCCAGACAGGCAAAAACACAATGACCATTATCTCCACAATGTGGTCAGGAAGAGGTCTGAGAGCAGAGGAGGTCCATGTGGATGGTTGGGTGGAAATTAGCAGATGTCCCAGCTCTTGTAGGAGCTCGTGGCTTCAGCTGTGGATCGGCTCCAGGCGCAGGGCTCTTGAGCAGGTCCTGGCTGGCTCCCAGCTGAGCTTTGCAGCCGCTGCCTGCGTGCACGGGGAGCGCTCGGCTGGTGGCAGCGGGGTGTGAGGAGGCCGTGCAGGGTGTCCGAGTGCTGCTGCGTGTCTCGGGGAGGAGGGTTAGGGTGTGTAACAGCATGCAGCACTTGCCTGAGACAGACCGAGGCCTTTCACTAATTGCTGTTTTGATTTGAAGCCTGCAGGGCTGGGGAGCTTATCTGCGGTAATTGCGATAAGTCACTCGTTAAGGGCATTGCAAAATTAATCTCATTAGAAGAAATGACTCTTTTGTTCCAAATATTATTTCCTTCCAAATGAGGGAGGGTGGGTGGGTGATACAGGGCACTTTGGCATTGCTGCTGTCAGTAGCAGGGGTGAGGATGGGTAGGATGGTGGGAACAACTGGCAGTGCTCAGTAGGACATGGAGAGTATTCAGGGTCCCTTGTACCAGCCAGCAAAGTTGGAAACTGGTCATGGGAGCACTGTGGGAGAAAGGGAGATGAAATGACGTGCAGCTCTGGGGTGAAATAGCTGAGATCCTTCCCAGTTACTGTGGATTTGAGAACTGGAAAGGGCTGAGTGCAGCCAGCACCTGCAGCCTTCAAAAGGGTGTTCGGCACTGGGCTCTTCTTTGATTCCTCTCCAGTTCAGCGTGTGCCACTACTCAGTGATGCTCAGCCCCCTCGTGCCATAGCCCCCTTTTCTGTGCGAGCTTTGGCAAATCCCCTCCTCACCCTGGAGCACCCCACCAAAGCCCCCCTGCTTTTTCCAGACCAGGAGGGCTGACCTACATGCTCAGGCTGTGGCAGGAGGGGATCCTTGGGGTAGGATGGGATGCACTTTAAAAAAAAACTTTCCTTGTTTGCAGACATGGCATTAGCTTTGATTTTTTACTCACCCACATATAATTTTTCTGTTGTAATGGTGTTTTAATTCATGCCTTGCTTGCTTTATATAACATTTAACTTACTGTGTTCTTTTTCTCTTTCCCACCAGCTGTTTGTCTCGTGTATGTGGTGTGCTGCCTGCCTCTAAGACCCCTGTAGAAGATAATACTACTTTACTACCGCATGAGCTGCCTTCAAGCCACTCCTCTCTCCTCGCCCCGCTGCACCAGGCCTGTCCGAGGCACCCACTTGACGAAACAGAGGAAGAAATGAGGGGCCTTTTAAAACCATCTAATGATTTTAATGTGTTGATTTTTCCTAAAGTAAATGCCCTAGCCACCCTTAAGTTCCATCAAATGGAACAATTCAGCTGGCACTTGTAAATCTGATGGGGCCTGGTTTGTATCAGGTTCCCCAAGGAGATAGTGAACTCCTATTGTGCAAGAAATAGCTGGCCTGAAACAGAAACAAAGTTCTCTAAAGAGGACACTTCTAGGACAGCACATGCAGCGAATTTCTCTGCGTAAGCAGGTGGTGGGTTTGGGTTTTTTTTTTCTCCCTTCCATTTCTACAGTCTGTCTGAAACAATGGTGACACTGTAGAAATGGGGGGAAGAGATGGTGTCTACATGGAAGCTGGCCTGGCATTAGGGGTGCAGCTAAGAGCAGGAAAGAGTGAAAAGCTGTTCCTTAGGCCATGTGTCCTCCATCATTTATAAGATGTCCCAGGAGCCTTTGAATCAGCAAGGGAGGCTGTACAGCCCTGTGACCAACGATGCTGTTGTCCAAGAGCTTTTTCCTCCCCGTGATGTGTCAGCCCTCACCCCTTCGCACGCAGTTCCTCGTGTGTGGCCAGCAGAGCATCGCTGCTGGTGCAGCTACTGTTTGCTTTTCTGTTTGTCCCTGCTGAGATGATGTGCGCTGCAGTCATTCAGAGCTGGTCATGGTATTTCCAGCAGAAAAAGCTTCCTCCCCTTGCAATGGCACAGTGAGGATTTTTGTTAATACTACGCTGGCCAGGCTAGATTTGTGTTAGGATAAGATGGGCTGGCTTCATGGTAGTGCTGTACAGGTTGGCCGGTCTGCTGCATATATCTGGCTCCTGCTGCTGAAATGGTGAGTGTGCCCTCTCAAACCCAACCAAGTTTCAGCAAAATATGCATATTTTTCTTGCGTATAGAGAACAGTTTCCCCCTCCTGAGCAGGACTAGTGATGATGGTCACAATGCAAAAGCAGACCTGTGCCAGTGTCCCCATGGTGGTCCCCTCACAAAGCAGCACTGGGAGAGCATCTTGCCTTTCCCAAAATAGGGGCAGCTCAGGGTGCAGGTTCTCTGGTGAGAAGATGGGAAAAGCAGGCTGCCTGGGGCATTTGATGCCACATGTGCCATCCATCATCACTCACAAACTGCACTTCACCAAGGCACTCTGCAGCCCCGTGTCTGCCACAGGGTTAGTTTGATAGAACGATTCTGGGATGCAGATCTTGTTGGCTAAAATGGGAGATGAAGAATTGAAACACTGCATAAGCCTTTAAAGGCTTGCTGCATCTGTGACTTAGCCTGTCTTTCCTTCTCCTTCCTCAAGTTTACTTCACACAAAATAACTGTGCTTCAAAGGAAGCTGTGTGAATAAACACCCTGCAGTTAATTTCTTGCCTTCAATTGCTTGCTCATTTGTGGATGACATGTAACATAGTCTGAGTTATTCAAATCACAACGTAAGCACCCTTTGCACAGCAGATACTGCTTCTGAGGCTTTTAATTGTGGTGTTTATATTTTGCAATATGTTGGTTCCTGTCTCCTTTAGCTAATATTGAATGATCTAATCTGTGTCTTGTAAACGAATCTATTTTAGCTCCATTAGAATAACCCCTTAATTGAAGGCATACAGGCAGCCTGTGATGGAAGAAGCAATGCTAAACAGTAAATACAGCTAATGGAACGATTTACGGTGTGTGGATGCTCTTAGCTTTGATGATACCCTGATTAGCTGAGCTGCTGTGTTTGATTTTTAATTGTAATGAGAATTAATTGAAGAGCGCTGCACAATGGCAGCCCTGCAACGGTGTTTTCATGTCTTAAAAAAGGTGAGTGAAAGCACCCATTCCAATTTAATGATTTTTGTTTCTTTATTTTACAGAAAAAAACTATGGACGTTTATAGGAGAGAGGTAAATGGTCCTTCCCTCGCTTCTAGGTGTTCCTCCTGTATGTATTGCTTACATCAGTGTTGCGTGGGGGCTCAGAGCCCCCGTTGCAGGGGATGAGCTGTTTTAAAAACGCCTGGGTTTGGCTAGCAGAGTCTCTGCCCCATGGAGCTTTTGGTCAGTGTGCTTTCAGGACATTTCCTGCCTCTGCACCTCCCACTGCAGGCAGCCAGCAGCTCTCCCAGTGACGGGAATGCTCAAGCAAGGACAGACACCAGGGCTGAAATCCAATCGATCAAAACTAGCGGTGGGGAAATCATAGGAGATCCATCCACTGGCGCCAGTGTAGAGACAGCCAAGGATCAATGATAATTACATGCTAAATCATCCAGAGCATTTGTAGGTGCCTAGAATGGTAACTATTATCCAATTTTTATATAGCGCGGGGAGTGCTTTTTAATTACTTGCACATTGCAAAATGCTCTTCTGACATTTGCAATAAGCTCAGTGAAAACAGCCATTTTACTAAGACAGTTTAGGGATTCTCTGATTCCTTGGACATCCAATAATTAGGGAAGAAGCAGTTTCTGTTGTAGTTAGCCTCACTACCTGGGAGAGGGCATGTTTGAGGTTCAGAGAGAGACGGCCTTGTCTTCACATCTCCATGCTCCTAACCATGGATGTGTCTGATCCCTCTCAGATCATGTACTATCAGCAGGCCATCATGAAGTCCAGAGTGAAATCTTCTGTCTCTCTTGGAGGGTAAGTCCTGATTTCCTTCTGTCCACACATTAATTAGTCTTCAGCACTCGTCTCCTAATGAGATGATTAAGCTATCTGCTCTGGCAGCTGGTGACTCAGTCAGGGGAATCGATGTGGTGGCCACACGCAGTGTTGTTTGTGTTGCCTGGGCCGTGTGTTGCCTGGGCCGTGTGTTGCCTGGGCCGTGTGTTGCCTGGGCCGTGTGTTGCCTGGGCCAGGAGGCGTACGGCAGAGGAGGGCTCAGTGTCCCAGTCATGATGAAGAGTCTCCCTCAGAGCTAAGCGGAGCTTCACTGTGGATGTCTGTAGAGCAGCGCCAGCCTCTCGGTTGAGATTCCCTCTGAAATCAAGAGATGTTCAGACTGGGCAGGACTGGGCTGTGGCGCTTGGAACCCAGCACAGCTCTGCAATCTGGACAAGCGGCTGTGTGGAGGCTGCCTTGCGAGGATGCAGCAGTGTGTCCGTCCTGTGCCTGTTCCTGTGCGGGATGAGTAAGCAGCGGAGACAGACTGACCCTCCTGTCCCCGGTCCCCAGCCTGCTGGCCTGGATTCAGCCCCGGTGAGTGTTCTTGCTTGTATGGTGATGCTCACGAGAAGGCAGCAGAGCTGGGGAAGCTTCTGGTTATTCTGTATCATGAAGGAACACATGCCTTTCCATGAACGTCCAAGCAATTAATTAGCAATTCCTCTTCTCAGTGGGAGTGTTTCCTGATCAGATTCTTGATGAAGCCAATTAAGAGCAAAGCTCCCAGTCCTAGCATCAGCCATTAGTGCATTTGCCACAGGCATTTCTTACCTGGAATCTTATGTGCTGGCCAGTTGCCTAGAGGTGCAGTCCACACCACTGGTCTGTTTTACATAGTCATTGCCACCCAGCGATTCATATCAAATCTGAGATAAACAAGGTGCTCAGGCCTGTTCCCTGGGAGAAGGCAGTCATGGATGAGTGAAATGGGAGGAAGAGTCTGGGAAGCAGTGCTGTCTTCTGAGAACCACAACTTGCAAGGCACCAGCAGTTCTGCTCATTTCATCTGTCGCTGACTCCCAGGTCACTTAAAACTCTCCTGCCTCAATTTTCCAAACTGTGAGCTGGAGCTACGAGCACCTGACTACCTTCCAGGAATTTTGTGGCGCTTAACTGTTTGGCAATGGATCTTTCCACACATTAGTCCTAGTCTTCTGATGGATAATGCCTATCACCTAGATCAAAAAATCCTCAGGAAATTTGGATCTCCATCTCAGCTGCAGGATTGGGTCCAAATCAAATTATTATTGATGAGGATAAGAGCAGCAACTAGATAGTGTGCATGCATCAGAGCATTGCATTGATTTAGGAGGAGCTGCAAAGCGCTAATCGTTAAAAGGACAGAGCAATGTTACCTGAGTTGACAGGTTTAGATTTGTAGCTCGATTAGAATATATGGATTGGAGTGAATTAATGCAGGTGCTAAATGCCTTGGCATTTCCAGTGAGAAGATAGGATCGAGCACTTCTGTGCCAAACCTGTGGTATGCTTTGTGCAGTAGCATTGTAAAATTGCAGGATCTATGCCAAGGTGCCTGTTAGCAACGGGCCCTTGGACAGTGCAATCCCATCTTTGAGCACATGAAAGCAGTTTGGCCTGGGAGGAATTTTAAATGCAGAAACCAGATGATTTTTTTCAAGAATGAAAAAGGGAGGAGAAAACTAAAATTCCAGGACATTAGTGAAATCGGTTGTAATTACAAGTCTGGCCAACTTAGAAGGTAGGAGAAGTGTTTGTCTGGTTCCTGCTAGGATAGAGACATTTTTGCTTTGTGCCGAGCCCTCAAACTCATTTGCAGAGGAATGAGCCATGCGGTAGGTGAGCAGAGGAAAGGAGAAGCCGGGATGTGCCCTCAGCACTCCCTCACCTCTCCCGGAGCTCCCTGTGCTCTCCCACGCCCCATGGAAGGCTGCGGAGAATGCGCCCTGAGCGAATGCAGCACTTGCTTTCCTCTTCTCTGGCGCTTTCCTCTCTGTAATGTGTGGCACAAAACAGCGCAGGATCAGGCCTTTGCCAGCTGGCTGAAGAAGGAGACAGAGATCATTTGGGAGCTTCGTCCCACTTCCTTGAAATGATGAGGCAAAAGGACGTGATGGAAGAGAGTCTTGTTGTATCTCCTGGCACTTGAGCTGGCAAAATCACTGCTTTGAAAGATGACCGGGAGATTACTGTTTGGGAAATGGAAAAGATTAACTGTTCTAATGGATCAGTTTTTCTAGTAAGGCAGGGGCCATGTTCCAGATCCCCGTGCTGATAGGGTTGCACCTCTGAAGATACTCATAGTCTGTGCAACCATTTGTTTGGTTGTAATAGGGCTGGCTGCAATTCTGCTTGCGAGTTAATATTTTGATTTTGTTGGATTGACTTGCAGGCTTGTGAAGTACTCTGAGCAGTTCCTCTCCAATGATCCTGTCCTGTCTGGATGTCTCCCCAGCAACCCCTGGATAACAGATGACCCTGAGTTCTGGGATCTCAATGCAAAATTGTATGTATTTGTATTCTCTTGCCAGCTTGTGGTTTACGCTGACCTTTATGCTGATAGAAATCAGAAACGGGAACCGTTGATTTCATCATGATATCTGGTCTCTGATCACAAGCAGGGAAGCATTCCCTTTCTGACATAGCTTGGTCATGCTAAAGA